ACCGGTGGTATGACCAACGACAAATGCAAGGCTGCATGCCGAGCTGGAGGTTTTGTTCTGGCTGGTACTGAGTATGCCGGCGAGTGTTTCTGTGACAACCAGATTCGAGCCAATGGCGGTCCTGCACCTGACGGCGAGAAGGGGTGCAACATGGCATGCAATGGCAACCAGACAGAGATGTGCGGCGGCCCCGATCGTTTGACATTCTTCCGTTTCTACACCGGTGGTGAATCCTCCACCTCGGCCACAGCTACACCAACCGCTTCTGCAACATCATCTGCTACTGGAGCATCCAGCGCAGCGCCTATTGCAACTGGGCTCCCGGAAGGCTTCGAGTACAAAGGCTGCTATGTCGATGGGCCCGGATTCCGCATCGTCAACTACCAACAACCCGATGATCAGAAGATGACCGTTGCGTCATGCACCAGTATATGCGCGAAAGCTGGTTATGAAATTGCAGCCATGGAGTACAGCTACCAATGCTTCTGTGACAATGCTGTTAGTATATCCCAAATTTCCAATGTCTTCTAGTACTAACTCATGTAGGTGAGAATGGGCGGCAAGCCTGCTTCCTCCGAGTCAGAGTGCAACACCAAGTGTGCCGGTAACCAAGCCGAGACATGTGGAGGTCCTAATCGAATGAGCATCTACTCAAGCCAAGATCCATTGAAGGTCGTCAAAGTACCAACTCCCACCCAGAATGTAAGCGACTGGCAATACCAGGGATGTATCACCGACATCGGCAACCAAGTCTTCCCGCACAAGCTGTTGAACCAAACTGGTAACTCACCAGAGTGGTGTCTGAGCCGATGCCAAGCCTTCGGCTACATGGCCGCCGGAATGGAGTACGGAGAAGAGTGCTACTGCGGTGACCTTGATGGTATCGAGAAGATTGGATCGAAGCCCGCCCCAGAGTCTGAATGTAGCATTGCTTGCCCAGGAGACCCAGAGGCGCTATGTGGCGCAGGTAATCGACTCAGCTGGTACAAGTGGGAAGGCGACCCATTGTACGTCTGGGAGTACCCTAAAGGCACCGCAGCGGGACGCTATGAGTTCCTGGTCGGCGGACCCATCATTCCTCTGATTGCGCAGCCTGGTGTCAACGGCAAGGTTTCCTTCCTTGAGAAGCACGGAACAGGCGAGCCAAACACCACTGGTGCATACGAGTTCGATCCTTCGATTGGTGGCGACATCTTCCACGCCTTCCGTGAGCTAACCGGCATCAAGACGGACATCTTCTGTGCTGCAGGTCTGACCCTACCGGATCGTGCCGGACGACAGATCAACATCGGTGGATGGTCAACAGATTCCCTGTTCGGCGTCCGCATCTACTGGCCAGACGGTTCGGCCGGTGTCAATGGTACCAACAACTGGCAAGAGGATGTCAACACGGTCAAGCTCCAAAGAGGTCGCTGGTACCCGACAGGGATGGTCATGGCTAATGGATCGATGCTCATCGTCGGCGGACAAGATGGCTCGAACGGCCCGCCAGTGCCAAACATGGAGATCTTGCCCACGGTCGGACCTGTGTATGAAGCGCAGTACCTAAGAGACACCGACCCATACAATCTGTACCCGTTCCTGGTGGTGCTGCCATCCGGTGGTATCTTCATCCAGTACTACAACGAAGCACGCATCCTTGATGAACGCAGCCTAGACACAGTCAAGATCCTGCCAAAGGTACCTGCTGCCGTCAACGATGCCACAGGAGGCCGAACATACCCCTTCGAAGGTACTCAAGTCCTCCTTCCGCAGTACTACCCTTACAGTGCGCCATTGGAGGTCCTCATTTGCGGTGGCGCATCAGCTCAGCCAAACGTGGGACTTGACAACTGCGTCAGCATCGAACCAGATACTGCCAATGCTCAATGGAGTCTCGAGCGCATGCCTTCTCGACGTGTCATATCCTGCATGGCAACACTACCAGACGGCACTTATCTAATTTTGAACGGAGCCGAGATTGGACAGGCAGGCTTTGGTCTTGCAGACCAGGCGAACTTGAACGCTGTCTTGTACGATTCCAGGAAACCGCGAGGCAAGCGAATGAGCGTCATGGCCAACACTACCATCGCACGTATGTACCACTCCGAGGCTGTCATCATGGATGACGGAAGAGTGCTTGTTTCAGGCTCCGATCCCCAAGATCAGGGTAAGCATCCTCAGGAGCACCGTCTGGAGGTCTTCCTTCCACCTTATCTGCTTTCCGGCGCAGCGCAGCCCACCTTCGACTTGCCACAAGTCGACTGGATCTGGGAGGCAGACTACTCGTTCACTGTGACTTCGTCTTCCGGTGGCGCGATCAAGGTCTCGCTGCTTGGTTCCGAGTCCAGTACCCATGGAAGTTCGATGGGCGCACGCATCTTGTTCCCAAGCGTGTCTTGCTCAGGCCGATCATGCACCGTCAAGGCGCCGAAGGGGCCATACATCGCTCCTGTAGGCTGGTACAGGATGTTTGTTCTGGATGGACCTACGCCCTCGCATGCGAAGTGGGTTCGTATTGGTGGCGACCCGGCTTCCCTGGGTAACTGGCCCGATGAGGCTGCCTTCCGGCCATTGCCAGGTGTTGGACCTGTGGGAGGGGTCTCGACCTTGAGCGCGAACGCGACTAAGGCAAGATCCATTTCAACAGCGCCTCGCAGCTTCCAGGGCTGAGCAGGAAGTGAAGGAGATATGGAGGAATCTAATGTCTATTTGTTAATTTGTCAGCTCGAGCAGCAATACTCACGCACTGCGACCCAGTACATATTGGCACGACGGCCTGGTAGAATTCTTAAAGTCTAATGTACACGTGTTGTTGAATCTGCATTCGGACAACATTGAGGTTTAGCGGTGATGCTATGTTGGACATGGTCAGTGTGGATGAGACTCACTGCTTGATCCAATCCACTTCGGCGCAACGCCGCTCGAAGCCCCTCCCTCGTACCTTCATCCACCCATCGGCTGCTGAACGGCTTGCTCGTGATCATATTCTGCGCGCTTCATCCAAACCCATCATTCCATCTCCTCATCTTCATCCTCACTACTCGGAAAGCTCCACTCACTCGACTGATAATAGTCATAATCCTCATCAGACTCTGCTATGCTCATCGGCTTTGTACCGTATGTTCGAGCGCTGAACGCAGAGTAAGCAGATCTCTTGGGCGATGGTGATCTTGACCGACGGCGTTTGACGGTCTGGACATAGCTTACACTACTGAGATTGACGCGCGGTGTGTCGGGAACCGGAGATGGTGAGCGAGGACGCTTTGTGGTTGTTTTGGGTACGAGGGCTTGGGGCTGTACGTCATCATCGCCTGTGAGATCGATCACCATGCGATCATCCATGGGCTCAGGGTCGTCCTGGGAAGTCGCTGGTGGAAGGTGCTTCGGACCCTGATATCTTCGGTGGATGCGATCGCGGATTTCTTCCTCCATGTCTCGCGCTTTGGCACGCTTAGGAGGCTGCTCTGGCATGTCCGCTGTCATCAGAGCCCATCGTTCGAGATGGCTGGCGGATCCGCAAACGCCATCTGGAGCTATCTGATCGTCGTCCTTCTGTTTCTCATCCAGCCACTTGCTCACTTTGGGCGCTCTGTAGTCGCGGTTCTGTTGCCGAGGGCGCCAGCTGTTTTGATGATGTTGCGACATGGCAAGTGCCGGGTTGGTGACGTGAAGACGCGTAGGCAGGCGCAACCCCAACTCCAATTAGACTAGTCGCGATCCGATCGGATAGCGAGGGATGAATTGAATACAGCTGTCGGCGGAGTGAGTTGTGGAGTGGCAGGCAGAGTCCGCGCAGACCGACCCGGATGCCGAGGAAGACGCGTCTCGGATGTCGTGTTGAGAATCCGCGATGCAGCGCGACCTGTACGAGCTCAGAGCGGGAAGCCGCGACCCACGCTACGGCGATTTATCTTCCTGGAACCTGGTGGTTTGATGCAATAGCGACAATGCGAAGTCGATTAGCGACGGGAAATGCCTAACGCTCTTGCAGCGGTTGAAGGGCCGCCGTTGATCGGCGCCCCTTGCGGGTGGAGACGCGAGCGCGACTTCTTGGCGCTGATACGACGGCAATCTGCTGTCTTCCAACTACAAACCTCACCATACTGATGTTTGTGTCTCCAAAAACACCATCTTCAACATAGGAGCCATCGTCACATGCTGGATTCGGCTCGATGCGACATGCAGCAGCCACTGACGACGTCGGCTAATCGCAGCCGGCCACCAACACGGGGATTACGCCCGGCAGCCCGTCCTGCACCACACCCACCGCTCAAGGCTCATGTCCGATGCTACAGTCGTATCTGGCCGCAGCAGATTGCAGCGGAATTCGATCACATGTTTGCGCATGCAATCAACTAAACACTCAAAGTCCCCAGAACACTCTCGCGGATGTTGGTCGTCGGAGGCATGTATGGATAGCGCGGCCATTATACGCTCGGGGTACGCCGACACCGCCTTCGCCAACTCCGACGGGGTAACTCCAAGGAATATGCACGCCATCCCACGTGCCATTCCTGCAAGATAATCCATGAATAAGACGCGGCACATGGCAAGGCCTGGGAACTTCCGTCCGACGACACATCCACCGGATGCGATTGGCCGGGGCGCCTGAAAAACGCGAACCTAACAACGCAGCAATTGATCGTCTGCGCTTGGGTTACCAATGAGCTGGATACCGCACAATCCATCTAAAGCGCCGTTAGGGAAGCCCAAGGCCACCAGTATGACCGCTCCGCCGTTGCCCCTCTCCACCCCAGAAAAGACAAAAACAACATGTCAGCCTCGAGCAGCTCGACAGACACTAACGGGAGCGCCCTTGATGATTCTACTGCTGAAGGGGCTAGCAGCTCCGGTCCGTCGCTCGAAATCGACGTGCGTTCCCTGTTCCAAACCTTGGCTGTATTAGCTCGCCCGACTGACAGCTGTCACAATAGAGTGAAGATACAGAAGGGCAGAGCGACGAGCGCGACTCCAACTTTGGTGATTCTGCCTACGGTGACAATCAGTCGTCTTACACCATGTCGGCGACGTCTTCGGTATTCAACTTTCGCTACGAGAACGGCAGACGGTATCATGCGTATGCCGAGGGACAGTATCCGGTGCCCAATGATGAGGTGTGCAACTATCGGTGGGAGTAGCATTGCTGTTGCTGATGCCGACACTAGGTGGAAGCGGACCGATTGGATCTACAGCACCACGCCTTCAGACTCACACTCGACGGCAAACTTTATCGAGCGCCAATCCCCAAAGATGTGCAAAATGTGCTCGACGTGGGATGTGGAACTGGCATCTGGTCTATTGAGTTCGCTGATGAGCATCCGTCCGCTCGCGTCCTTGGCACGGATCTGAGTCCCATACAACCCGCTCAAGTGCCTCCAAACTGTGAATTCCTAATCGATGACTGCGAGCAAGACTGGATCTTCCATGATCAATTCGACTACATCCATACGCGGGCCATGGTCGCAGCCATCAAAGACTGGGACCGTTTCTTCGCGCAGGCGTACGCCAACCTCAAGCCAGGAGGCTACCTCGAATGCCAAGACCTTGCCTTTCCCATCAGATGCATGGATCCGGATGTGACTGCTGAGAACTCACCTCTAATTCGCTGGTCAGAGTACTTTCTCGACGCCGCAAAGAAGATTGGTCTCGATGGCACCAGTCCAAGACACTTCACACCGCAGATTCGTAATGCCGGCTTCAAAAGTATCAACTACAAGAACTACAAGTGGCCTGTAGGGAAGTGGGCAAAAGGCGCGAGATTCAAGCTCCTAGGTCGCTTCGTGTATGAAGATCTGATGGACTGGCTACCGAGTAGTTCACTAGGGCTCTTCACGCGCGTGCTGAAGTGGTCGAGGGAGGAAGTGGAAGTCTTTCTCTCAGAATGCAGAGCGGAGGCCAAGAGGAAAGACCGGCATTTCTACGCTGATGTGTAAGTAGTCCGTCCAGTCACCATCATGAAGCGGGCTTTGCTAATTACTCAGATTCTTCTATCATGCCCGCAAACCCGAAGGCGCAAACGCGTCCAGCTCAGCAGAAGATGACGTGGAATGGGAGGAGTCGATAGACCGTGATGAAGAAGATGAAGGCCACCACGCAAGAACGCCCTCAACAAACACAACCTCTACCCCACCCGTCCCTCTACCAACCACAACCGACGCGACACAAGCTACAGTCGACCAATTGGCCGCTGTTGCTACCAAACAAGACCCTCCTGCAGCCGACGTCGCCGACTCAACTCCTCAAACTCCATTTCAGTAGTTGTATATAATGAATACATCTACTTTCCAAACCCCCAAAACGTACCTCCACCAACCACCCCGATAGCTACAGCGCTATCTCATCGTTGTAGTCATGACCTTGGTGACCTTTGTAGTCGTATGCGTGACCGTGATGACCTCGACCGTCTCTACAATCTGTGTTGTAGTCGCCGCGCTCTGGACCACCGCCACATTCTGTGTGGTGTTGCCGGCCTGGGTTGTCGCCGTCGTCGACGTCACCGACGTGTTCGTGAGGACCGCGTTGGGGTCCATGGTCGCCTGGCTGGGTGGTGCGAGGCGGATGGAGGTGGTGTGGGGGGTATGTAGGTGGTGGGGTGAGTCGCGGGGATGGGGAGAGGAGCGGCGGTGGTGGTATGTAGGTTTGTGGGTGGCTTGGGGGAGACGGGTGTGCGCGACGGCAGGGTGATGTAGGCAAGATGGTGTGGTGGGTGCTGGTGCTGTCGCTGGTGTGGAGGGGATGTAGGTGGTGGAGAGGGTGAGGGAGAGGAGGAATTTGCGACTCGCTAAGACAACAATATTGCAAAAAAGATGAGATGAAGCACGCGCCTCACCGACTAGCAAAGCCTTCTCTGCTATTGTCGTCTTCACTCAGACCTAGCAGGAGAAGGGAGCATATTCTTACCCATGCAGCTTAGACCGCCGCCGCCGCTGCGATATGCAAAAGATAAGACCCTCCCAACAGCAAAAAAAGAATGTCCATCTCAAATAGCGTAGTGTTGTGTTATGTGTTGAAGAAGAAGATAGTAACTTACGTCGTGATGTCCCCCGATTCCTCCACTGCAAGTTAGCGTACTCTGTCGCTGGTTAGCATCACACTTCTGTGACCGGGGATAGGCCCCGAAATCCAAAGACCGGTGAGGTTAGGCCGGTGGGGGAGCTGGTAAGATGTCGTTAGCGTGATTCGAACACGAGCGAGTTGAGCGGTGTTGGAGGGAGTGGAGTGGACCACTACGCTATTTTCTTGGACTTTGATGGGATGGTGGCTGGGATACGGGGGTTATGTAGCGAAGGGACTTCTGGTTCCCCTTCTCTAAAAGATTCGGGCTGCACTTGATGGCGAGGAGAGGGAAGGGCTCCCAGCAGTTGCGCGGCGTGTAGGTAGGAGCGGAGGTTTTGTTGTTGTGCGGTGATGACGCGTTTGCTCCTTTTGCGGGGGGACAACAGCATTATGCTTTGGCAGGCTGCGTATGCGTGTTGCTCCAACAGCGTGTAAATACCTTCTGCGCAAAAAGACTTATTGCAGCGAGGATGCTGCATGATAGAAGGCAATGCGAAGATATGAGCTGGTGAAGGGCTCTGAAGCATGTTGAAACTCTACTACCAACCATACTGCAAGGCTATGTCACATTCTGGATAACACATTAGCAAAAAAAGAAGATCAAGTCATCCAGATCGAACAGCCGAAGCGATCAATCTGAAGGGGATGTTGGACTTACCAAGCCGTGTGTGTGGTACGCAGCCAAGAGCCGCCGAGGCGAGCCAGATAGGGTTTTGTAATTTTCTAAGGAAATGAATAAGCCCTATAGCGGCCGCAGGAAATCGCAGGAAAAGGAATAAAGCAAGAAAGGATCGCAGGTAGTGATACTATTCGAACTCGTTAGCTTTTGTATCCCTCTTGAGGTGAGAGTGCGATTGACCGCCGGGCTATTTGATCTGGATGACTTGATGGAAGAATACGACTCCAGGTCCCTTTATATCTCTAGTCGACGATACTTGCATCCCCGAGAAGAGGATCAGAATTTGGGAAAAATCGACATGATCCTGGTGTTGAATGTTGCCTTGGTGAAGCTGGCGGTGATGGTGGTGTGGGCCCTTGTGGTGAGGGCGCAAGCCAGAGCGGGGGCGGTACCGTGGTGACGACGATCGTCAAAGAATGCGGCGCCTTAACATGTCGGGTCGAAAAGGAGACGAGACTTGAGATGAACAGGTAGAATGGAAAGGTGACATGAATAAGGAGTTGCATCGTGCTGGAAGTGACAAAGGGAAACATTCACGAGAGACGTAGGAATGAAAGAAATGACCCGACCTATGGCAGCGCATCAGGGACGCCAGGGGATCCGGAGAAGATGAAGGTTGGTATGCAAGAGCTGCAAGAGCGATGCCATCCTTAGTGCAGGAGATAATGTGGCCATGAATGATATCCATGGAACCTGTGTCCAGCCCGCGATGCGGGGGTATCAGGGGCAAAACGGGCAAGACCAGATGTCTAGCAGTAGAGACCTCCCCATCAATGATGGAAATGACGGCAAAGGATGCGTTGGCCTTTCTAGACACCCAGGAGGTGGTGGTAGCAGAGACTGCCATCGCCGCCTTGAGGTTTGACGTTGGGAAGAACGGGGCCATTCGGCGGTGCTTGCTAGTTCGGGCATGCCGTGGGGCCTTTGGCGGCTTCAACGCCTCGCCAACTTCATGTCCGCAACACCAACATCGACCCCATCGTCATGGCGCCATCGAGGGGTCTGAGCATATCGCATGCTCAGCGCGTCTACTCACGACATGAATGCACGAGTCGCAATCCGTTTGCGGCTCCTCGCAGCTTCCGCACGCTTTCGACAGGCTGGACGGTGTTTGCCCCGAATGACACACTCCTTCCCGGACGACAAGACGCCCTCCGTAGGTCTTGGAGAAGCTCAGCGATACCATATACGACATGGGATACGGTTCGACAATACTCGACCTTCACGGAGAAGCTCGCCGACCCCGCCAACAAGCTGCAGACCTACGTGTCCCGCAGCAGCGACCCGTACCTCAACCTCTCCATCGAAGACCACATCCTGCGCAAGAGCCCCGCCGACAGCACAGTTCTGTTTCTCTATGTGAACAGGCCGTGCGTCGTCATTGGGCGAAACCAGAACCCGTGGACGGAGGTCAATCTGGACATCCTCGACGCCGCCCGCGGAGCCCACGACGCCAAAGACAGCGAGCCCCCGGGCATCGGTACTGTAGACCTTGTACGCCGCCGCTCCGGCGGAGGTACCGTCTTCCATGATGAGGGCAACCTCAATTGGAGCATCACATGTCCCCGCGGCGACTTCACACGCGACTTGCACGCCGAGATGGTCGTTCGCGCCTTGCGCAAGCTGGGCATCGAGCGCGCCAGAGTCAACGAGCGACACGACATCGTTCTCGACCAAGGGCACGAGAGGCACATGGCCGACCCCCAGGACACGCATCGCACGCCCTACACCACCGACGAAGGCGGATCACGGCCGCTGAAGGTCTCCGGCTCAGCATACAAGCTGACACGCCAACGCGCCTTGCACCATGCGACGACACTGCTGAGCTCGCCGAACCTGCACATCATACCCCACTACTTGCGATCTCCCGCGAAGAGCGTCATACAAGCCCAGGGTGTCGAGAGTGTCAGCTCGCCTGTGTCCAACATCGGTCTCGACGTGTCGACATTCCAGGAACGTCTGCAAGAGGAGTTTGCGTCAATGTATGCTGAGCTGGGAGCTCCAAGCATCGTGCAAACTGTCGGCGAAGAGCACTTGAACATCCCCGATATCCAGAAGGGATACGACGAGCTACAGGTACTTACGTAGCCCTCGATTTTTTCGCTGTCGTTGCTAACGTCCGTAGACTGATGATTGGATGTGGTCGCAAACACCAGCCTTTAGCCTCGTGCTCGACCCCAAGGACGACATTGGCCTCCAGATGAAAGTGCATCATGGTGTTATCAAGAGCTTGGATTTTGAGGACTCCAGCCTTCCGCGAGACAGTCGAATAAGACTTCAGGCTGCGCTAGTCGGCATGAAGTTGCAGAATGTTTGGACCTCAATGAACTTCGTGATGATGAGCGAACACAGCGATGACGATCGAGTCGTGACTGCGGCGAAGCGACTGAGGCAGCTCTTGCCTGTACCTGAACTATTCAGGCGTTGAAGCTTGACTCTCACAATCTGGCCTGACAAGACGGCTCATGCGTTGTCTGAAGAGTCGGGATGACAACCAAAGTTGTAAGAGTTGGCCGGTATTGGTACAACAACCCTGGACACTCCACTGAGTCGCTTCCTGCAACTTGGAGAAGATACACCCGTATGAAAGAGCACATATGAACCCAACTCTTGCCTCCCTGTCGTGCTTGCATTGCGCAAGCGTTGATCCTTCCGTCGTCTGAGGAGCCGTCCACGCCGAGAGCCCGACATGTTGCGCCCCTTGTATCGTAGCCTACGCCCGCATGTTGTGGTGCGAAGCAGCATCGTGGTCCATCCGGATGTATGAAGAGTTGTTCGTGGCTATGCCTGTTCGTTGTCGCCGGTCTGCCGTCGCGCAAATCCGTAAGGTGTGAAGTATCCCAGCCACGGGTATAGCGGAGCGGTCTCGCCATGTGAGGCCTTGTCTTGTCGGACGCGGCGCTGTGTGCTTGAGGATATGCGACGGTTCGCTGAAACTGTCTGTCTTCATGGTAAGTGCCGCCATCAGGTGAGTGATGCCCTTGGTCGAGATTGCATTGCGCCCAACCTGAAGCAAGGCTGCGTATGGCTCTGGCTCTTCGCGACGCCGTTGCTTCCGCGGATGCATCGGTAAAGGTATGCGGCTGGTAGCACCAACGCCGCCAGGTATGAGGTAGTCACCAACGGAGCAGTAATATGCATCGCCGAGGCAGATCCATACGATGCCGCTTGTAGGAGTAAGTCTACTGTCGTTTGGAGGGGCGGTCGCGGAGTTCTTCGTCCGCGTCGATTCTTTGTCCTCGATGGAAGAGCTCTCCGCGCTTCGAGGCAGCCCCTCAACCCCCTCGCCGGCGCGGTCTAGTAAGGCTCGAGGGCTCCATCTGTGTGATGATAGGTATAGAAGAGGGTCCCGTCGCGCTGCCTGTCCGGCTTCGTAGTCTCAATCGGAGCTGCGGGGGTCGTGGTTCGGGGGAGACGGCCGGAGGTCTCGAAGATTGTAGGCAGTTGGTTCTCCGCCGCGGGGTAATTCCAAACTGCGAGGCTGCTTGCGACATCGAGTCTGTCTGTGGTCAATGGGGGTAAGGTGAGTGTCTTCGTCGTGTTGACTGGGGGTCTTACCGCGGGCTGCAGCTGGGCCTTCGGCGGCGGAGAAAGCGGCCTTGAGGCGGTCCTCGAGCCTCGCCGGCCTACGCAAGGAGCGCCAGCAGCTGCATGTAGGAGTTGAAGATGTAAGAGGCCATGGTTCCCGTGGTCGCCAGGAGGCCGCCGATGCCAGACTCGACGCAGAAAGCGGCCTTGGAGCGGCCCACGACCCTAGCCCGCCGCCACGAGAAGCGCCAGCAGCTGTACGTATGGAATGAGAGCGTAGGATGCCTTGGTTCTCGTGAGCGCCAGGAGGTCGCCAATGCCAGCTTCAACGTAGAGAGCCGCGTATGAGGTAGACCTGGAGCTTATTACGACCTTCTGCGGCGATGAGCCAAGCGGTGGAACAGTCCTAGGGGGCCACATGAGCTGGACATGTGTCTCCCAGTAGCGGTAGAACGACGTGAGTATCGACAGGGAGGGTTGTGGGTGCAGTGCATTTGTGAATCTGGTGTTGAGTATGTCCGAGCATTGGGGGGCTCCCAGTTCGCCGCACTAGCGCCAAATCACCAGACCAGCACAACAATTGAGGCATTTCAGCTCATAGGTTTGCAATTCTTCAAAAGGCCCAAGCTTACTAAAGCCCACATGGCATCTACAGTCACCTTGTATTGGAAATTTGGTAGCTACAGCCATGCTTGCTATTTCAGCTCCGTTTGGCAAACTCTCACCATCACCACCACCACCATACATACCATACCCACAACACAACAACAATCCCACTATCCAACCCAAATGGCCTTCAGAAAGTGGCTCGACGACAGCAGGAAGAAGTTCCTGTGCAAGGGAGCGGTGCTCAAAGAGCACATCAAGAACAAATGGAACCATTTTTGGGATATTTCCCACAGCGTGAGCCACACGCCTGTTGAACCAAGCTCCAGTGAGGAGGAGGAGGAGGACGAGGAGGACAACAACGACGACGACGACGACGACGACGACGACGACTAGGCTGCATAGGCAGCGAGATGAACGACTTCTGGGCTGCAAAGGCAGCGTTACGAAACAGGTTTGAGGACTACGTTGAACCCCAACGTTTTGACGGTGACTCGACAGCAAGGCGAGGAGGTATCCGAGGCGATGGAGCAAGACGGCGGCGGGCTGTGAGGTGGGCGAGGAGACGACTGTGACGTTTGTAGGTGGTAGAGGATAATGGGAAGATGGGTCGCGGAGGTCACAAAAGGTTCGCAGACTCACCCAGGCTTACCGGATGAAGTACCCTGGTCACTACCATCGTATTCTGGGAGCTCAAAGTACCTTGGGAACATGCACGTCAGCATCTCGGGCTGCAGCAACTTATAAATACGGTCGGACATTTTGGATGGCTTCTGGTCCCGCTTCCTTGGCAAACCACCGCCTATTCGCCCGTCGCAGTTTCAGCCTTTCGCTTCAACCACTCGCCCTCGCAGCGCATATTTTCATCGCAACCGGTCAACAGCCTTGGGAACACAGATATGCACGCCTCTGCACGACTAGTTATCTCGATCCAATCGTCGCGACCCCTCATTCTGGATGCCTGTTGTTTCGAAACACGGACAGGCCATGAAACGGCTGCCATCAGCGTTCGCCGCGTTTCAGGTGAACTACGCCGCCTCCTCCACAACGCTAGCCGCAATTCTGCTCGCTGCAGCTGAGGCTGAGAATATGGCTGGGTTTATATAGCGGCGATGGAGGCATGTTGGGGATTTGGTCGGGACCACGTTCTTCAACTACCAGCGCAGCGCGCATTGAATACATTTCTTTCTTGTACATCCTTTCCTCTTCTGCATCATGAGCGGTCACGAACATTCCGGCGCTGGCTCGCTGTATACTTACGATACGACTGATGATTTTGGTAACGAAGCCTTCGACACTGCGTTTTCAGCATGGAGCTACATGGAGCATCAGCCCAACATTGCTAACAAGTATCAACAAAGCCCTGTCGGTATGTGAAGATCACTCCTAGTGCCCAAGAGTAGCACTTTGACTGACCCGAAAACAGAGGCTCTGCAACATCTTCCTCGACAATGGCCGACCGAGAACACCATACCCCGGCCCTTCGTTTCATCGCAACACCTCTCCGCTTCGAGCTTCTCGTCGGCAATGTCAAGCTATCGATCATCGGGGAACAGCAGCTTCTCGCAGGCCCCACTTCGAGACTCAATGTCATCGTCCATATCAGGCTATTCGAACACGTCCAATATATCGCGGAATCAACACTTTTCCATGGCCGAACATCTCTTGTGCCACGGGCCCACCTCCCCACCTCTATATTCCCCCACTCCAACAGAAGAGCCCTGCCACCGTCCTACCAAAGCAAAGTCCCCCAAGAAACCAGCCCCACAATCAAAAGACTACTTCAAAACCTGCGTCTCCGCACACAAACAATCCCGCCTCTGCCCCAAACCCCACGCCTACTTCTGCACCATCTGCACCCGCCCCTTCATCTCAAAAGCAGACTGGAAACGGCACGAAGAAACCTACCAAGAACGTCCGGATATGTTTACATGTGATCTCTGCGAGTGCATATATTTCCTCGCGAAGGACTACACGAAACACCACGCCCAAGCCCACCGATGCACGTCTTGCGCTGCGGTGGGGCCTGGCAGGAAAAAGGTTCATGCACTGTCTGCGCGACGGCGGCGTATGACAAGGACGGGTTGGGGCTGTGGGTTCTGCGTTCATTTTAGTACGGAGTGGGGGGAGAGGTGTGATCATGTTGCGAGGCATATGGGGGAAGAGGGGAAGGGGGTGAGGGAGTGGAAACATACTAATGTTATCTACTCTTTACTCCAACGACCGGGGATATATCATGAGTGGATGCGATTAGTCCGTTCACTGCCAAACATCACTAGCTTCGGATGGAACCGGACGACTACTGGACGCGTCGAGGGGTATCCGGAGAGTAATCTTACGCCTCAGCTGCAGGATTACCTGGAGTATTTTACGGAGGATCAGGATGCGGCGGCTGTGGCGAGGTTGGCTTATGCGAAGATGAAGAGGGCGACGGAGCCGACGAGGGGGGATGAAAGGCCGCCTGTTCCGCCGAAGGATTATCCTGCTACGGCGGTGCGGAGTTGGGATGGTGAGATGGATCTGTGGGGGCGGCTTACGGAGTCGGTGGTTGAAGACGATGTGCTGCCTATGGGTGTTAGTCGTTTGGAGGGATGGTATTCTGGGGAGTGATTCTTTGAGCAACTCGTATTTTGCGGGGTCTAATGTATAATGAATCGATGGCCATGTTGTCAAAGTAACATCTACAACCATCCCATAACGACGCATGATCAAAATCCTCGCCATCACCACCCCTCCAATTCCTCCCCCTTTGTCTCCAAACTCGGCGGCTGAACAGGCATACCCTTCTTCAGCGCACCCACAAGCGGGTCTTTGCTCATCATCTCCTGTATCTTCTCATCATTACTGACATCAGCCTTAACCCGCTTATACGCCATCCTCGACGGCTTATCCACAACATTCAAAAAGCTCTCCCTCCTCGCCGTTGACCAAGCGTTCAACAACCTCTCATCATCCTGCGCCTTCCCAGTAAGAACCCGAATGAGAACCTCAGACAGCGAAGACGCATCCGCCATACCAGACGCCAAACCAAGTCCCGCATACGGATTCGTCAAATGCGCCGCATCCCCCACAAGACAAACACGCTCGTCGTGATGATACAACGACGGAACAAGCCGCTGTTGCGCTTTATACGGCGCCACCCTCACAACCTCATACGCCTTCTCCCCCCGCCCATCCCGTCCTCCATTCGGCATCATAACCCCCAACTTCTCATCCAGCGTCCTCATAATCTCCTCCTCAGACACCCCAATCGGGACCCCATAACTCACACGCCATAAGGCTGGTTTCCCATCCGCGCTGGCGTGGTTTATTCGGCCAATGAGACCGTAGTTCAGCGGATCCATGATGAAATTCGCGTCGTGGAAGCCGTGGGCGTGGAAGTCGAAGTGGAGGTCTGTGGCTACGAGTTGGGCGTCGAGGGTTTCGCCTTCGAGGGTGATGTTGAGGTCTTTGCGGATGGTGGAGTGGGCGCCGGAGGCGTCGGTTAAATAGGCGGCTTCGAGGGATTCGTCGCCGAGTTGGGTTGAGGTGGCTTCGGGGGTGATTTGCACGGTGACGCTGGTTGGGGTTGATTTGAAGGATGATACGCTGGTTCCGAGGCGTACTTCGGCTTTTTCGTCGCCTAGAGCTGCGAGGCGCTTCATGAGGATTTGTTGGAATTTTCCTTGCGGTAAGAGGAGTTGACCTTTTCCTTTCATCCCTTCGCCTGAGTTGTCGAATGTTTTCCCCGCAATCACTTTGCTGCCGTTTTGGATGCTCGTTCGGAAGCATAGACCTGAACTCAAACTTCCTGTCTTCACCAGCTCCGGTAGTAAGCCTTCGACTTTGGATAGGATGGGATACGTTGGCGGTTGATGTGCCATTGCGCGCGTCGACATGGGATCTGGCTGCTGCGGTTCGATGACGATCACCTTATTGGGTATGTCGGACTGTGCGAGGAGGAGGGCTAGAAACAGACCGACGCAACCGCCTCCCGCAATCACGATTGGGAGGGGTTTGGCATTGTCACCGTTGGTACCGTTCGCGTGCGAGAAGCCATAGGAGAAATCGCTAGAAACGTTGGTATCGTCGTTTCCGGTGCTAACGTTGAGGCTCGATAAGTCCAGATTGAGTGCAACCGAAACCGCCATAGCTAGTGGAATATATGAAGCTTTTGCTGTTGAGTTGGGCGTGATCTGGCAATTCCGATGTATTGAAGGTGGACTGATGCTGTTCAAGGTGACTGAGGTCTATATCTGGATGCAACTTTGATTTCGTGGTTTAACACGAGGAATGGCATCTTAGTATTGCGTGTGTATAGTAACGGTTCTTTTTCGGATACCGAGCGATGTTCCCGGCGATGTGGTGCTGTCATTGTGGTACCTGCCGCAACGGCCCCGATGTGGGGAACCGGCGACTTTAGCCCCAGGGTCCAGCCGACGTCAGAGGGTTTCAGGGATCTTCGACCGACCACCAACATCACATTCAATATGCACGTGCGTGAAAAGGCAATGTTCATTCATGTATTGAGGCTACCTGTATGACCTTGTTTATGTCTAACAATTTACCTGACCTTGGTATATTGCTATCCAGACATCTTTCTCTACCATCGATGTCTTGCTAACCCCATACTCCTACATCCTGTACACCTTGATCCTGTCCATTTTCTGTAGGTCCCACGTACGGGTAGTAGTGTTGAACGCCTCTCTTATCTCCATCCGAAATCGCCGTAGGCCATTGAATGATTTGTGCGTTCCCATCGTTCGGCCCCGAACCGTCACTGGGACGCCCATTCTTCCAGCGTACAAGGGGTAGCTCATTGACGGCACCTCGCTGATTTGCAGCGTGCGCTCGAGAGGGGTAGTGCATGATAGAATCGAAGTCGTATGCCGTTTCCGAGTACTGTGCCAACGGTGTCGTTTTATCTTTTGCGAGACCCATGTCGGTACAGTACGCGGTTGGGGTTGCAAAATGGAGGCCGTGCATGTATCCCAACCAGTTGGATCCACAGACGTCTTCAATCGTTTTCCCCTTCCACGCGGGCTCAGTCTCCACTTTCTTCTTGGCAGTCTCGTAGCCCTCGAGTTTGGAGCAGTCGAAGTTGACATGGTCGTCCCCTGAACTGTTAGCCGGGATAGAAAAGTTGTCTAGCAGAAAAAGCTCACGGTCCTTCCTCTGATGCTCATGTTCAAAGCCAAGAACATGACCCAGCTCATGAGCAACCTCCCATTCCCATAAGTCGTAGTCAGCAGGACGCACTACAAGAAGCAAACTGTGTCGATCGGCTTTCTCATTTCTTGGAGTAGGAAAAAGATGTTAGTAACCTGATAATAGACAGTTGAAGTATAATACTTGTCAATGACCGACTTACTGTGTCTCTGGGATGAATCCAATAGTTGCTGAAGCAGATTCATCCCAGGATTCCTTGATCAGAAGTGTACCTTCGGGAACGAATTCGTTCCATTCGTTATCCTCATCACAACGTGGATAAAACCCCTCTTCGTCGTCGTCGTAGTAATAGTGACGGAATCCAGCAAATCGATGTCCATTGTCTTTACCCTTGCCCAACTTGGTCACCCACTCTTTTGCTGCCTCCTCCACTGTGGTAAACAGAGTCAGTACTCGCAGAATTCGTGATGTGGAAGGCGACATGTAGGTATACTTACCGACGTCGTGGAACGCGTCGTAGTCCTTATCAGTGGCATAGCAGTAATCAATCCAAACATATGGGTCATTTTCGGGGCCCTGATCGGGCCAGACCGTTCTATCTGGAATCCGATGGTTGATGACTGACATCCAGCCTTGGCCGCCATTATCGCCGAGCTGTCCAGATACTTCCAGGTCGGCGATGAAGTCGTCGACTAAGGAGCTGTTGGTGAGACGATTGTTGTTGAAGGGAAAACCGCATGCGGAGGTCAGGGTCGCAAAAAGACCGGCGAGGAGGAGAAGTAAGAGCTGCATATTGTACAAGGTTTTGGTACAACTGAGTAGATTGAGAGTCGATGTGTAGACTGGGAAACAGGAGAGTGGGCGGATCTATATACGCAGACAAAGCAGAGTCTCGTTGCTAGCGCGATTGCCTCATCGGATTATCGTGTGCTGCCTGAAGGCGATGATAAAGGAGCAAACGTTCCTGGCGGAAGCTTTGGCCAATATACAGTCATGGACTTGTGCTCGTGATGATGAGCGGGGTTTGGCCGGGAGCATCTGCACTAGAAGTGCATTTATTACTCTCAGATAGGAAACGTAGAACCAGTCTTGTGAAAGACTGATATGGCCGTATTGGTGAGCTCGGTAGCCTGAGAAATGAGCTCATTACCTTCTCAAGGGATCCACAAAACTTTCGTATGATAAGACAAGGTACGGTCGCCACGACAGTCAGAGTGAATACCAGTGACTGGACGCGTAGTATAGAAAAGCCACAACAGGCGCACTCGAAAACCAGAAAAGCGGAGCCTTTATACCGTAGCTGTTTGTACAGATCTAGATTGTCAGAGAGCATACACAGCGAGAGAATCACTCACAAACCTCCCTTCTTGACAATCGCAACATCAGCAACCATCCTTATCTTTTTCACCCCACCCTCACCCTTGGACCACTCATTACGAGGCAACTTTTCCACAATGAAGTCGAGCGCCTCATCCCACATCTCCTCATCGCGCTGTCGAAGGTGTTGTCTGGGAAGGTGAGGTTGCAAGCGTCCATTGTCTCGACTTTGACTGGCCACGAGGGGTTGTCGGTGAGATTGGCTTACAGCTGAGCGAGGAACATTGGGTTTACGTCCGTGGCGTGGATCTTGACCGGTTGGAAAGCTGCTTCCCATTATCGCTATGGTCACTGCGCCGGGACCGCAGCCGTTGTCGTGGACGACAGACACTGCAGCGAGTGGTGGGAATCGCTGACATCGCCTTGGAGTTCTTGGAGGAGGGCACCGTCGAAATCGAGCGCTTGCTTTGGCTTGGACGGGGCGGTCATGATTTTGGAATTGAAGTTGTAGATGGAAGTGCTGTTATGGGGTTTGGGTATGTAATGTGCCTGTGTGAGCCTAAAAGATGACGGTAATACTGTGGTGATAGAAATCTACATCGTCATGTACTGGAGTCGGAGACGTTTCCAGAGGTATGGTCCGAGGAAGCTCATGTGCATGACGTCCATAGAGCCAGACGTAATCAGATGTTGGTGTTTGGAGCACTCGAGCATATCTCAGACGCCGTCCTACGAGGCTTTTGGATCCCGTTTCTGACTGATCAATCTTGGAAGAAGACCTAGTCTGAGGACTCGGAGCGTGAACGAGGCATAAATGATTGTGACGGCAGAGTAGAATAGCGGTCGGTAGTACTTCATGGTCTGGAGGGATCGGATAGGTTACGCGGTCAGTCTTGGCTTGTTTGAGCTGGATTGCAGGAGATGTCGGAGGGCTCGGCTACCCCGCGAAGGTTGGCGCGCTGTCGCTGATGGCTCGAGTCGTGAAGCAGTGCACACAAAGAATTGTCTCCTTTGTTGTCATTAGTAATGCACAAATCGTCGCATGCGTGTTGATGACTACGAGGGGCATGCGTCGGTCTAAAGATGGAACGGTAGTGAGATGTGGCTAGTGACGTACGCCACCCGTGGACCGCGTGGGCCGAAACAAACCATAGAACGGGACACGAATTGCCAAGTCAAGACATCCACGAATGCTCCCCCAGAACACCCATAGCCTCTTTCCCCCGTAAACCAAGTCTTCTTGATGCGGTAGCGACTGCATTACGCGTCTTTCAAGATGTCTGCGCCCACTACATCGGACCCCATACAGCAGAGTGGTAGGTGAGCTTGCAGCCCTCGGAGGTGCCAGTAAACTCCGCTTTCACGTCGCGGCCCATGTGGGAGCACGGAAGAATTATGGGCTAACAGGCGACGCCAGGCACTTTGTCCAAGTCGCAGAAAAAGAAGAATAAGAAGAAAGCCGCCGCTGCGAACAAGGCGGACGGCACAGACAAAGTGAATGGGGACCACGCCAGAAGCGACGCGGAGGATCACGACGAAGACGCCGAGGATGAGGCCGAGCAGGCTGTATGCGGTCCACGAGAGCCCTCTATACAACCACGAGTACTAATGGTGTCAATGCAGAAGCCCGCCGCGCATTCAGCCGATCCAGACGCCGACGACGTAGACGACGACCAACCGCCGCTGTCGCCGACGCTGCAGACAAACGGGACTCCACACCACAGCATCTCGTCCGCAATTGCGCTTGGACTGGCACGCTCACGCTCGCAACAAGGAATCTCCGCCTCGCCGCCGCCCCCTTCAGACGCCAGCGCACGCCTAGACGCGATAGCCAAGGAGCGCGATGCGCTACGGCAGGAGGTCACGGAGCTGAGGAAGAGTTTGGAGGAGGTTCAGAACAAGCAGAGCACAGGGACATCAGACGAGTCACATGCGAATCATGAGGAAGAAATGCGGAGCTTGAGGGAGGAGCTGGATGAGGCCAACGAGGGCAAGGAGCACTTTGAGACACAATACAAGAACTTGCTCGGCAGGGTCAATACGATCAAGACCAGCTTAGGCGATCGACTCAAGGCGGATGCGGTATGTTTGCGCACGAGATTATAGCAGGCAGAATACTGACCATCCGCAGGCCAGGATCGAGGAATTCCAATTGCAAATCGCCGACCTCGAGGAGCAAACCCGCGAGCTACAGGAGAACAACAACAGCCTGACCGAGGAGCTCGCAAAGCTACGGCAAGAAAAGGAAGCCCAGGCATCCGAGATCGAGACACTACGCAGCAGGTCGACTCTGTCGCAACAGAACTGGATCAAGGAACGCGATGAGCTGATCTCGCGAGAAGCATACGCCAGGGAGGAGTTCGAGAACGCCAAACAAGCCATGCAAGACTGGGAAGTACTGGCCATGAACGAGCGATCTCTGCGCGAGAACCTCGCTGAGAAGGATGCTGAGTTGCGAGACCAGCTGGAGTCGATGCGGGAAGAGTACGAACGCGCTGCGAGGGATAGAGACACCAATAATCAAGCTGTGGAAGGTCTGCAGAAGGCGCTGCAGGAAGTACAGAACCGTGAGTACAATCTTCTCTCGACATGAGTCTCCCCTAACTGACCATGTACAGTGCGAAAAGCCGAGCTCAAAAAGTCCGTCGAGACCTACGAATCGCAAATCAACGACCTGCGGAAACAAGTCCAAGCCGCGGAATCAGCGTCCAACGCCGCCAAAGCCACACTCGAGTCCACACAGAAAGACCTCGAGCGCGCCCTGCCCTTCGAGAAGGAAGTCAAGGAGAAGAACCTGTTAATCGGCAAACTGCGCCACGAAGCCGTAACACTCAACGAACATCTCACCAAAGCGCTGAGGATACTGAAGAAGGGGCGACCGGAAGACAATGTGGATCGACAGATCATCACAAACTACTTTTTGCATTTCCTGAGTATAGACCGGAGTGATCCGAAGAAATTCGAAGCGTTGCAGTTGATTTCTGCACTGCTGGGCTGGACAGATGGTAAGCCCCCTTCCCCTCTCCCTCCCCCCTCCCCCCTCTCCAACTATCCCATTCCCCCGACTAACGCCCCACCCAGAGCAAAAAGAGCAAGCAGGTCTCGCTCGCCCCGGCACCTCATCCAGCTCAACCGGCCTCCGCATCCCTCTCTCCTCGCCCTTTAGACGAACGCCATCGACGGCGTCGTTGAGCGCCGCAGCTGCAGACCCCATGCTCATGGCTAGTAGCTCGAGTAACAAGGAGTCGTTGGCGGAGTTGTGGCAGGACTTCTTGGAGAGGGAGGCGGCGGAGGGGAAGGGCGATGCGAGTAGGAGGGGGAGTACGGTTGGTTCGCCGCCTATGGGTGCTAACGAGAAGAGGTAATGGATGGATTGGGGTAATTATAGAACACTTTGGTGCAACAGAATCAGGTGCTGAAGACACCTTGATTTCCTTGATCCAGTGTACATTTGCCTGTGGTGTATATCGTAGTCGCCTGTCCGTTATGTTGTTACATCTTTCATGTACAAGTATCCCGACGCCCAAGCCGCGCCTGTATATGCGCTACAAATACAGTCATCCAGACTGCATGCCAATTGCTCTCATTCACGGGTCGTTCATCTTTCCCGCACCATCTCTTTCAGCCTGCGTAGTTCTCGTTCACAAATTCCTCCACCCCGCATCATCTCTTCCAGCCCGTGTGCTTCATTACTGCCTCTTCCTTCGCCTTCCTTTGGTCGGGCTCTAGCGTCCGCATCCGTTGGGCTTCTTCGCGCTTCTCCCTCTTCATCACCTTCGCTTGCTTGTCGGTCGGTCTGCGGATGGCCCAGTTGAGCTGGCCGAAGATGGTGGTCTTGATGGCTGGGTGTTTATTAGCGAATGGTTCTCTCCATGTAGCGAGTGTGAAGTCCTACCATCCACGCAGTATGGACACAGGATGTGCAGGCGCTTAACTCTTCCGCACCCAGAACATGTGTTCAGCGATGTGATGTCCTTCAGTCCCTTGCCCGCCATGAACCGTTGGCGCTTCTTGCGGTATGACGTCTTCTTCTTGGGCACCGCATTGAGTATGCCGTCCCAGATATCGGATAGTGACGGTATTGAGGGGAGTGATAGTGACGGTATCGCGAGTGCGCCGAATGGTGTGTTGGTTGCGCCGAAGGGTTGTGATAGGCGTTGAAGGAAAGGCGTGTTGAGGATGGGCCGCATTGGGCCATTGAGACCCGGCAGGAGCGTCTGCCACAGCGGAGGGAGCGGGCGGGTGAGTGCCATGACTTCAGCGGTGGCTGGCTGCGACGGGATTACGTAGGGCCGCGAAATGGCGATGCCGGTGATGGTGTTGTAAAATGTCGTGACCCCAGTCCGAGCTTGCAGGTCGCGCCTTACCGCCCTCCCACTAGCGCGCTTTCGCTTCCTAGCTGCCCCCTTTCCCGCGCCTGCATCTCCACGAGAAAGTCGCCAGCGCAGCGACCCTGACTATTTACTCTATTACGACGACACCTCCGACCCTCCTCTCCCCAACCTAATTCCCATTCACCCACCCACCTCCATCACCCCCAGTCCGCGCCCCGAGGCTCCCATCATCCACAATGGCTGCTGCATACAACCAGAACCAGTCGCAGCCCATCTTCCCGGACAGCTATGTCGGTTTCGACAGCATCACCAAGCAGATTGAGCGCAAGTCGGTCAAGCGGGGCTTCCAGTTCAATGTCATCTGCGTTGGTAAGCTACTTCCTCCACCATGTCCCCATTGGTATTGACGGTGTACAGGACAGACTGGTCTCGGCAAGTCGACACTGATCAACACGCTCTTCGCCTCGCACCTCATGGACTCCAAGGGCCGCTTCCAGCCCGACGAGGAGGTCCGCAGCACCACCAACATCCACCCCGTCTCACACATCATCGAGGAAAACGGCGTGCGTCTGCGCCTCAACATCGTCGACACGCCCGGCTACGGTGACCTGATCAACAACGAGCGCTGCTGGGACCCCATTGTCAAGTACATCAAGGACCAGCACAGCGCCTACCTCCGCAAGGAGCTGACCGCCCAGCGTGAGCGCTACCTCCAGGACACGCGCATCCACTGCTGCCTGTTCTTCATCCAGCCCTCTGGCCACGCCCTCAAGCCCATCGACATTGTCGTCCTCAAGAAGCTCAGCGAGTTTGTCAACGTCGTGCCCGTTATTGCCAAGAGCGACAGCTTGACCCTGGAGGAGCGTGCCGAGTTCAAGCACAGGATAAAGGAGGAGTTCCAGTTCCACAACCTGCGCATGTACCCCTACGACAACGAGGAGGATGACAACGAGGAAGTCCAGGCAAAGCAGGCCATTAAGGTGAGGGACATGTCGAGGTGCGACTAGACGTCTGCTAACTTCCACTAGGAACTCCTTCCCTTTGCCGTCGTCGGCTCTGAGAGGACCGTTGTTGTCAACGGCAGGAACGTCCGTGGTCGCCAGAACAAGTGGGGCATCATCAACGGTAGGCCATCTCAAACGCTCCTCCACGCGCACTCCACTAACACCCCACAGTCGAGGACGAGAACCACTGCGAATTCGTCTACCTCCGCAACTTCCTCACCCGCACCCACCTGCAAGACCTGATCGAGACGACCGCACAAATCCACTACGAGTCGTTCCGCGCCAAGCAGCTGCTTGCCCTCAAGGAGAGCTCTCACCAGGGCCACTCCTCGCGCCCCATCTCACCCTCTGCCGACCGCGAGCTCAGCAGGAACAGCCAGCGCATGACCATGAACGGGTACTAGGAGTTCCCGAATCATAACCGCGTCGACAGTAGCGGGGGCAAGCCCAACGGCCCTCCACCACCGCGTATGGAGCCACGCATGGAAAGGCCTGTCCCTATGATCGATGCTATCTGAGCGGAGGTGGTTTAGGTGTGCGTCAATCGCAAGAGGGGGCATTTGCGACATGTTTTTGATACCAGTGCATCATCTAGCACGAAAAGGGAGAGGAGGAGACTTTGCGGCACACTTTCGATTTGACACCTTTCTCAATATCCTTTTAGTTACGATGGATTCTTATTATCTTTCTTCATCTCGTATGTCATAGCACGGTGTAGTGGTTGAGCTAAGACCTTGGGTTGTGCCCGGGTCCCCTTCTAGGATAGCGGAGTAATTTGAAGCCTAGTGCTTTTCCATCATTCTTGCAACTGGAGACTGTATGATGGCTTGGTGTCTTGTCCCGTTTGCCTGGTAGTTCGCTCTTTCCGCCGGTGTAGCAATGTCAGGCCATAATCTTGGGAATGGTACGATGGCTCAGTCCGCTCTACCAGGGGAGGCAGGTACGGGATACCAGATGATACGAGCGCAGATCCTCATCTACCATTCTCCCCATCGAGACAGACAGGGCTCATCGCCGCCCGACCCGCCCGAAGTCACCACACTCAAGCCGTATGCTCAGAACCATCGCCTCAGCGCAACAACTTCGACCCTGCAAAATCCTCTATACTATCATCCCCCTTCTTCGCTCCACCAGCCTTATTCTGCCCAGTCACTCTCACCGGCCCTGTCTTCCCTCGAGCTGGTGATCGTGATCCACCAGGTGACTTTGTAGAGGCACTGTTACTTTCGGCTTCGCCGACGATCCGCTCAATGACTTTCGCTTTCGCCCCAGCGCGCTTGAACCGATCGTCGAAATCCGCGACGCCTTCTTCGGTGTTTGCGGTGTCGAAGGTGAGGGGGTCGGTTAGGGAGTGCAGGAGTGTTGTGTTGTTGCGTAGTCTCTCATTACTCTTTAACTGCGGCAGCGTCATACCTCCAGCTTCCTCCTCTTTCGATACGATATTGGATGTGAGACCGGGTAACCGTGATCCCCAGACTACACTCCGTCCGTGGAGCTCGCCCAATGAAGCGAACTTCTCGAAGCCTTTTTCCAAACCGAAGATTCGTCCTTCAATTCGGCCGGCGTGGGCGCCGTCGGAGACGCCGAGGTTGTAGGCGGTGGTGTAGAGGGTGTCTTCTAGGGTTAGGAGGGCGTCGAAGGGGTCGGGTGAGGGGGTGCGGGTGGTTGGTGGGTTGGTGGGTTGGGATGCCATCTTCAAGATAACTCTAAGCAGTGCAGTTGAGCGAGAGTTTAGGTGGTGCGCTTCCCTCCCTTTTGTGGTGCCACAGTATAAGTCTTCGAGTGATGACTGTATTCAGTATTTCATCATACGGATGAATCTTGAAGCAATTCCTCTGTTCGAAAATCACCCTTGGTGCTCTGTAGAGGAGATAATGATTCAGGCCTCTGTAAATTGTTCAAGCGAAATTCGTTAGATTTCAGCTTCTCGAACGCGATGCAGTCCTTTTTGCTGCAAAGCTCAAAGTCAGGGTTCAGCCACCTGTGGCGTCACTGGCTGGTGGGGTAAGTTTAGGCGGGGCAGCTACCACACACCCGTCGTGCGTGCAGTCATTCGCGTTTGACTCAGCTACTCAACCAAAGAAACGTGAAGCTGCATATATTTCCATTGCGCGCTCGCTTTCCTCCCATTCTCTTCGACTTCGACTACATATCCCGATACACCATAGTAAGAGCTACATCGTCATTCCCCCATTCACCACAACAAGCTGACTCAATACAGCTTACAACCTTCCATGACTGAGACAACCAAGAAGATTCTGCCCGTCGAGGGCGAGCGGAACGTGCTCATTACCAGCGCGCTCCCTTACGTGAACAATGTCCCGCATCTGGGCAACATCGTCGGCTCCGTACTTTCCGCCGACGTCTTCGCTCGTTTCTCACGCGCCCGAGGGTACAACACACTATACGTCTGCGGAACAGACGAATACGGCACAGCAACGGAGACAAAGGCTATAGAAGAGAAGGTCACCCCGAAAGAGCTATGCGACAAGTATTTCGCGCTCCACAGCGAGGTCTACAAGTGGTTCAATATCAGCTTTGACCACTTCGGACGCACACCCACACAGCAACAGACCGACATCGCGCAAGACATCTTCACAAAATTATACAAAAATGGATTCCTGGAGGAGCAGACCACAACACAGCCGTACTGCGAGACACACAAAAGCTTCCTTGCGGACCGATTCGTCGAGGGCACATGTCCGTTGTGCGCATACGAAGACGCGCGTGGAGACCAGTGTGACAAGTGCGGACATCTTCTCGACCCCCTGGAGTTGAAGAACCCGCGTTGCAAGCTTGATGGAGCCACACCCGTCCCTCGCGAGACCAAGCACGTGTATCTTTGCCTAGACAAGCTGCAGCCATCAGAAGAGGAGTGGTTCAAGAAGGCCAGCAAGGAGGGTAACTGGAGCTCCAACGGTGTTCACATTACTTCATCGTGGTTGAAGGAGGGCCTAAGGCCGCGTGGTATCACTCGTGATCTGAAGTGGGGAACTGCGGTGCCGCTCGAGGTACGACGCACTTTTGAACACGACAAAATTCAGCTGACCGGTATCAGGGCTACGAGGACAAAGTCATGTACGTATGGTTCGACGCCTGCATAGGATACGTGTCCATTACAGCAACCTACACCGAGGACTGGAAGAAATGGTGGCACAACCCCGAACACGTCAAGCTTTACCAGTTCATGGGCAAGGACAACGTGCCGTTCCACACGGTCGTCTTCCCCTGCTCTCAGATCGGTACGAAGGACAACTGGACCATGCTCAATACCATCTCAACCACAGAATACCTGAACTATGAGAAGGGCAAGTTCTCGAAGTCAAGGAACATTGGTGTCTTCGGCAACAACGCCAAGGAGACCGGCATTCCATCTGACGTGTGGCGCTACTACCTCCTCTCACATCGGCCGGAAACTGGAGATACCGAATTTGAGTGGGACGGCTTCATTGCCGCAAACAACAACGAGCTGCTGAAGAACCTGGGTAACTTCATCAACCGCGTGATCAAATTCGTAAACAACGCCAAGATCTACGATTCGGTCGTACCTGACTGGACCAAGTACGACGATGAGTACTTCACGGAACACAAGAAGAAGGTTAACGATCTGCTGAAGACGTACATTACCGAGCTGGAGGATGTCAAGATTCGTGCCGCACTCGCGACCGCGCTCCATGTCTCGAGCTTGGGTAACTTGCTGCTGCAAGACAACCGACTTGACAACAAGCTGGCTACAGAACAGCCGGATCGTTGCGCCGCTGTCGTTGGGCTCGCTTTGAGCCAGATCCACCTTCTCGCCAGTTTGATCGAACCATACATGTAAGTCTTGAATCTCTCCATCACATGACTGTTCATTGTGGTCGAGCAGCACAGAAACGTCCCAGTGCAGAACTTACGGCTAATCACGATACAGGCCCGATACCGCCGCCGCCATCCTCTCCCAGCTGAATGCCAAGTTCCTCATCATTCCCGACAAGTGGGAGGCGCAATCACTCCCCGTCGGCCACAAGATCGGAACGGCCGGTTACCTCTTCACTCAAATCAAGCCGGAGAAAGAGCAAGAATGGCGCGAGCAGTTTGGTGGCGAGGAGGCTCGCAAAGCCAAGGAGGAGAAGGCCAAGAAGGCGGCCGCTAAGAAGGCAGAGAAAGAGCGCAAGAAAGCGAAGAAGGCTGCCGGTGCTGACAAGGGTGTTGAAGCTGCCGAGAAGGGCCAGGACGGACCTGCAGCCAAGACCGCGGAGGAGGAAGTGTCGAGAGGAGTTGAGCAGATCAGCCTACAGACCTCATAGTGTGTGAGTCTGATGAGGCGGTTCTGGGAGTTCTGGCGCTACGTTTAGGGGAGAGCACTGGCAGCATGATGCAGGGGCGTTCGCATGCAATAAATCTTGGGGGTTGTCAACATGTGTTTGATGAAGAACATGACCAAGACAACGGAACAGCAGAGTACCCTTTTCAGGACCGAGGCAGTTGGTCTGTTTCAACATGTAGCCACGCGTATGGCATGAGTTTGTTATACTAGAGCAGACCTGAACTATCCTTTTCGAGGTACCATTGCAAGCGACTTCACTGTCAAAATCTCTCTGGCCGCCAGGTCCGCGTGGTCAGAACACCTTCTAGTAGTCACGTTTACACGGCTCGTATGCTCCCAGAAAAACAAGGTAGACCACCAGACTTTAAGAGAGCCGCGTTTATCCGAGGTGAAATGGACCCTGGTTTCAGGTTGACGTAGATCGTGAGCCGGCTCATTGCTCTATGTCAACAACGACGATGATACCAGCTTATTGTATGTAGCTCCAAGAAGGTCACTGCTATGAGCACTTCTACGACACGCGTATCAATGTCCTGACAAGCATCATAGTACCTGAGCGGAGATGCGCACTCTTGCACAAAGGCCATGCAGTGACATGTTTGCGCTCAACCACCATCGTGACTACCTTACAGTAACAGTATGACGCTCCTGCCCTACACGTCTCCATATCCCCCATTAAGACAATGTGCTCACCGGAAATGACGACTACCCCGCATTCTTTGTTTATCACCGTGAGGCATTATCCTCCGCTTCCGTTCTCCTCCTCTTCTCCCCGTCACCTTCACTGTCCGTGCGCAATTTCTCAAGCTGCTGCGTCTCTAGAACGCTCCTCGCCGCGTCAGCCAAGCAAAACAACCATACACTCAATCGCAAGCCGCAATTAGTTTGCTCTTTACCCAAACTCGCCGCTATCGCCATTCCGTCGCATTTGTTCCGCGACAAGGTACTTAGCTTCCCCAATTGCAGCCGCAGATGAAGAAACTAAACATAATGCGCAGTACCAGCGACCGCAGGTACAAAATGGCGAGCGGATACGTCCCCCAGATTGACAAGATGGCCGGGATGACTCCCACTGAGCGCCGCGAGTTCTGCGACACACCCGAGATCGCTGCCGATGCTTCTTCGGTGAAGCCGCCGAGCACCACGGCCAAGTACGACAGCAATGTCTCGATGAACACCTATCCTGCTGCTGAGGACGGCGTCGCGGAGCAGGCCAAGGGCCCGGCTGATATGGAGGGCCTGACTGTTGTCTGGACCAAGAAATGGCTCATTGCCGCTTATGCTGCGTAAGTTCGTCTCGTTCTTGCGGTTGATCTGCTGCCCATTGATGCTGCGTACTGCTATGATACACACAGAAATGCTTACATCCCATAGGATCATGCTCATCTCTTTCGTTAACTCTCTCCAACAACAAACCAACTTCTCATGGCGACCCTACGTCACCTCGGCCTTCATGATGCACGGTCTTACGGCTATTACCGATATCGTTGCAAACATTGTCGGAGGTGTATCGAAGCTTCCGCTGGCCAAGTTCATCGATATCGTTGGACGACCTCATGGCTTTCTTCTTTGCTTGATGTTCATCGTAGCTTGTAAGTTCATTCACTCCAGATCAGCCGACATGTTTCACGTCTGACTAGTGTTGTTGTAGCGCTCATTCTCATGGCTCTTTGCCAAAACGTCCAGACCTTTTGCGCTGCACAAGTCATCTACTGGACCGGCATGAACGGCGTCGATTACATCTTCAACATTTTCATCGCCGATACCGCGCTTATGCAGAACCGTTTGATCTGGATGGCGTTCACCGGATTCCCCTACGTTGTCAACACCTTCGTAAGTCCCCTTTCTGGAAGTTGATTGGACGTATACTAACATCATCGTGTCTAGGCTGGTCCCAAGCTTGGTGAAACCTGGCTCAACCACAGCACTTGGCGTTGGGGCTACGGATCTTTCGCTATCATGACCCCAGTCTTCTCGATATCATTCTGGCTGGTCTTCTGGCTCATGGGGAGGCGAGCAAGAAAGATGGGCGTCATCTCGCGTGAGCCGAGTGGCAGAACGATCTGGCAGAGCATCAAGCACTGGTGTACCGAGTTTGACGGTAAGTTCAACTTGTAGTGAGACATCCATTCCCTGCTAATAGTCATAGTGATCGGGGTCATACTCATCACCGGTGGATTCTCCCTGCTTCTTCTTCCGTGGCCTCTTGCAGTCTACCAGAAGGACGGCTTCGGCTCTCCAATGTTCATATGCATGGTCAGCTTCGGAATCTGCCTCATCCTACTCTTTGTCGCCTGGGAGCGTTACTACGCTAGCCATGCCCTCTTCCCATACTACCTCATGAAGAACCACTCGATCATCGCGGCATGTCTGCTCGGTTGCAA